CTAATTTCTCATCATTATTCAACAGAAGAAGTACAAAACGTGCTTCAGTCAACTATTGCGTCGTCAATATGAATTTGGAGCTCAGTTTAGAACTCATCATAAGCACAGCGCTGAACAAGATCCGTACCTTCCACGACGCCACCCACATCCGCGCCCACACGCACTGCGCTATCTTGCCGTACTCAGAATTTCTATCACATAGTACAATAAGATTTGGGCAACACTTTTACATTTCACAACCAGTGATGCTACCTCGGCAATGATAGAGATTTTTTTCTTTGTGGCACTTGTTAAATTGCTTATTTTGATTTCTACAGGTATTTTCATCTTATATTGAATCCTTAATAAAAATTTTGAATTCTCTCTTCTCTTACATCTATTACCGTAAATGACTGCATCCAACGCCCTCAATGAGGAAATAGCAACGCAAACTCCGAACTAAACCTTTTATAAATTAGACGCGCAAATATGATGCAGGGTGCAAGGGAACGGCGCACATGTTGCTTGACGGTGAGCACAAATTGACCACACAAATTTTCGCACCGTGGTTCATTAATTTTTGACTTTGTGCCATTTGAACTTTGATGTTACCTTGTGCTGGTTGTTCTTTGTGACACTAGTAAGTAAATGGTGAGTTTTGTTGCTTTGGTTTCGTTTGCGTTTTTCAATGAAAGTTTTCTCAGAAAGAAATAAAAGAATTTGGATCTTGGTCAGAGCAGACAAGCTCTTCAGGAAGAAAGTACTTCTATAATCGTGATACGGAGGTTAGTTGGGCTTTCTTATCTGCTTATAAATTTAATTTGTTGTGGGCATCATGGATGAGCCATAAAGAAGCAGGTACGAGTGTTCGTTTTTTGTAAAAAAGGCTGAAGATTAGGTTCCGATACTTTGTTGCTTTGTTGAATAGATTGTGGTTTGAGGTGTCGCAATGGGAAAAACCAAAAGAATGGAGAGAATATGAGCAACGACTAGCTGAACAAGAACGATTGGCTGCGGAGCAAGAGCGGCTGCAACAACAGGTAGGACACAACTTCTTGTTATCGTGATAAGACACTTTTTGGAAGAGAGCAATGGGATTTATTTACCTATTGTATTGTCTTGGCATTACCTTAAAATTCATCTCTAAAGGCAGCATAGCTAGCAACCGTGGCGATTTTGTTGTAAACTTGACACCAGAGGCGCTTCGAGATGCTAGCTTTCTGCCTCTGCTGTTTGCTGTAATCACCTAAAACAAGTTGAGTATTTTTGACGCATGATTGCACAGTGGAGCATTTGTTTAAAGGCAGTGTCCGGGCAAAAACTCGATTTTGAGA